CATGCTAGTGAATCTTTAAATAACCTATATTAAATTCCAGGATTCTGTGTTGTGTTCTGTTTATGCCATTAGCACTCAGGCCTGGCTTGGGGCCTGTCTCCAATGATTATGTCATTAAGAATGTAGGGCGTTGGGAGGCAGGATCATTCCTAAAGCTCTTCTTTCCCTGGGAGCCTTGGATAAGGGCTTGAACAAGGTAATGGAATGTGTAATTGCTTTTCAGTAAACTTTTATTGTACAGTAAAGATAGTATAGAGTAGTAAAGTACAATAAGGTAGTACACAGAGTTCCCACGTACCTCACACTGGTTTCCTGTAGCGTTAAATCTTACATTTGTGTGGTACAGATGTGCCAACATTGATCCATTATTCCTACTAAGATTCATACTGCTCACAGTTCCTTACACTTTACCTGGTATCTTTTCTCTGTCTGGGGTTCTATCTGGGTTACCACATTGTGGTTAGTCTTTGCTCTAGGTGTTCAAGTGTAATTTTGACATGGATCAAACATTTAATGTATCATTGCATTGCAACCTTTCACACTTAAATTTTTGTTTCACATTGTGTTCTTTTTTCTTTAAACATCAAAAAATGAAGAAGGAGCTAATAAATCACCACTACACGATTGATGCCTCCATAGATTTGAGTTTTCTGGTACCTTTACTGGTCTCCCTGTGTGTTTTTACAGTGAAAATCACCCACACCCAGTGGGAAAAGTTAGAGCATCATAGGTTGGACACCCTTGATGGACACGTGGCATCATGCTAAGCACACCTTTGAGTATTTTACAAAACAGAGGACATGTAATTTGCTCTGAGTAGTATCCTCATTTTCAGAAGGAAATAATAAAGCCTGAGGAGTGAGGGCGGACGAATCTCCTCTCAGAATCTTTTCTCTCTCTCACTCTTCCCCTTTGTCCCGTCAGCCAGCTGGGCTGAGATGCCAGCACCAGGTTAAACCCAGGTGGGCCTTTGTATAAAGAAGCACTCAGGATGGCCATATGGGCGATGTTACTGGGCGCACATGACCTCGGACCAGTCCCCGACTGGACCGGGCTGGCAATGCTTGTGAGGCAGGTCATGGGGTTAAGAAGGTAGATGGAGGTCGTTCAGCCAGCCCTGGTGGCATGCAGAAGAACGTGCTAGTCAGGGAGAAAGCAGACGATGTGAGTTCCCAAAGCTGCGACCATCATGGTGGCCCCCAAACTTGCGGTGATGACATCCTTTCTTAATCCATGGCTGGAGCCGCCCCTTTCCCGCAGCAGGGGCGTGGCCGTGCGCTGGCCTCCTCGCCCTGAGCCTCTCAGCAACTAAGCCGGCGCGTCTTAGGATCCGTACTCCTGACCGCTCTGGTGTTTTCAGTAGTTCTCGCTCTTCCATCCTTAGTCATCTCTGAGTCTCCAATGTGTCCTCCACATCCTGTTCCACATGGGGAGCCAGAACCTCCCCACAGATTCTGGGCAGTGGTCTGACGTGCTGATGTGGCGTTTAATGGCCTCTGTTAATCACCAAGCACAGCCTGCTTCCATGCAGCTTTCTTCCTTTTTTTCTTTTTCCTCCTACCAGGCATGAAATTTAAAAAAATCTAATCATAAGATTGATGTTTGTTCAAAAGGTCACATACTGTATGATTTCATAAAATATTCCAAATAGATAACTCCGTGGAGACAGACAGCAGATTGTGGTTACAGGGCCCGGGCGAGGTGGGGATGAGGGAACAAGGTTTCATTTGGGGGTGATGAAATAGTCCAGAATTACATGGTGGAGATGGTTGCACAAGCTTGTGGAATACTAGAAACCACTAGATCGTACACTTCAAACTGGTCAATTTTACGGTATGTGAATTATATCAATTTAAAAATTGGTGCTTATTTATGTTTTTAAAGATAAAAGAAGATATTTAAATTACCTCTGTAATTCCAGATAACTCATAGTGACATTTTGATGTGTGTGTGGTAGTTTCTGTTGTCTTGTTGTTTTTGTTTTGTGTTTATTTTTTTTCTTTGGGTTTTGTTCTTAACCCTTTTTGGGGCTAAGAGAAGCCCTGGTGGAATTTGCTGAGACACTGGACCTCTTCGCACTTGACCTCACTCCCCAGGTTCACGTAGGCCCCTGTGACATTTGCTTGTCAATTTTAGGAGGCTCAGTATCTTGAGAGAGGACGACCGTTCTGTGCCTAAACATTATGTAGTGTGGCAGAAAGATACATTTTAATTTAAGAATTATGATGGTGTCCTTATTTCTCAGTTAGGAAGCAACAATAGGGCCTAGTTTTATTGAAATGTAAGGTGTCAGTTCAAAGGACGGTGGCGATTGGACATCCTGGATTCACTCACGTATTTGACTTGTGGAGGAAATACACTGGGCCTTAGTCGTAGACGCTTAAGCATCCATGTCTCAAAGCTTGGGGGGCTCTGGTGTTGGCCTAGTGGGCTACTTGAAATTTTACCCGTTTGTCCAGATCTGTAGATGATAGTCTTTTGCTGAAATGCCCAAACTAGATTTTACCTAGGGTAACCTTTGAGGCTGACGGAAACAAAAACTCAAATCGCAGCCTGTGTACTGACCCGCGCAACATATTCAGAGAGGATCCCAGCATTTCTAATGTCAACGGTGACTTTGCATGTCTGGGTGGAGGTGACATCTGCTTACGAGTCACAGAAGCACCTGGATCACCTCCGGCTCTCCTCCCAGGAGGAGTGCGCTTGTCCACACGCCATGTCCAGTGCCTGTGAAATTCCTATGCTTCTGAATTGAAAGCTGCCTCGGAAGAGCTGGGAATCTTTTCCACAGTGGAATTGGACTAATGGTGCTTATTTTTCTTTAGGGTGTATATTTATTTGACTGTTTCACACCATTTGTCAATTTCTAAGCAGTTAATAATTTTTATGCCTCTTTCAGATGTGTGTATATAGTACAAGTGTGTTTTGATTTCCTGTGGTCTCTCTACATTTAAACACTGCTGAGTGATGGTTTGTGTAACATGCCAATTTAGAATTTCAAACTCAAACTGAAGCCTTTAATTCTTGAGCAGATATCTATTGACTGTCTTGAATAGCTTATGCTTCTCTCTGTTCTGTAGCACCCCAGGATTCTGTTTAGGTTTCAATGCTAGCACCATTAGCCCTCCCTGGGGATGCCGCACCTGCTGTCCTCCAGTCGTTTACATTGCACCACTGACTCAGGGGAGAATGGTATGATTGCCACGGGAGAGGTGTATGGTTTGGAGGCATGGTTTTAGAGAATAAAGATGTTACTTCTGAATGGTTGATCGGGAACATTTTATGAAAGATGACATGGGAGCGCGGCTTCTGAAGGGTGGGCAAGTTTGGTCTAGAAGTGATAAAAAGAAGGAAACTTCCAAAATTGGATGTGGAAAGCCACGGGGAATTTCAGAAACAATCTCACCTGCTGGCCGATTGGGAGCTGGGGCTGAATTCTAAGAGCGCTATAGGCCAGCATGACACCTCACGCATCCCGTGTTTTAGGAACCAGCAATATGGAGAGGATCACCTTAGAGACACCAGTGCCTTTATTTATTTAGCTAAACAGTTTGAAGAAGCTTGCGTGTCTGGTTCTGTCTGAAAATCACTCGTCTTCCAGTTTTAGACCTCAGCTTTTCTGAGCAAGGCATCATCTTAAGAGGAGTCTGAAGTGTCTGGGTTCTTTGTTCTTGTCTCTCATCTCGTTTCTCAACCAAGTGGGATGACCCAATGTTGAATTATAAACTGTCTGACTTTTTAAAATACACAAAACGTAAAACTTACCCTCTTGGCCATTTTTAATTGCACAATTCAGTGGCATTAACGCATTCACATTGTCGTACAACCGTCACCACCATCCATCTTCAGAACTTTTTCATCTTCCCAGAATGAAACTCTGTACCCGTTAAGCAGTAGCTGTCCATTCTTCTGTCTCCTGGCTGCTGGCACCCACTGTTCGACTTGCGGTCTCTAGGATTTGGACTACTCTGGGTAGCTCGTATAAGTGGAACCATATGGTGTCTGTCTTTCTGTGATGGGTTCATTTCACTTAGCATAATGTCCTCAAGGTTCATCAGGATTTCCTGCCTTTCTAAGCTGCATCATATTCCATTGCATGTGTGCCACACCCTTTGACAGGCTTTGATGCCGTAATCCCAGATCCATCCAGGAGATGTGTTGTCAGAGTCACCCCTGACTTCACCGTGTCTGACCTCCTATCCCCATCAGTGAGACCCAGTCCAGGCCGAGGTCCCAGATGAGAGTCTGAAAGTGAATGGGAAGGGGACTGGGTTGGAATACGGAGAAAGGTCTTTGTGAGGCCCAAATGGTTTCTAGGGCATCAGTCACACCAGCCCATCTTTCCCCTGGATTTGGGGATGGGAGCCCATGTCTTTGTGCTGTATTCCCAGTGGAGGGTCCAGACCTGAGCAGACCAGATCTTTCTTGCCCTTGGTGTTTATGAGTTTGGTGTGGCTGCTCCTGCTGACACAGTCTCTGAGGGGTGGGGTTGCTATTGTTTTGAAGATGAGAACCATCTGTCCTTAGGGGTGTGGGTAGATCCGTGCTTGGCCACTGGCTGCCGGTGGGTCTGGGGACCAGGAGTGGAATGAGCTGCTTCAGAAATTATCCAATTCTGAATTTATTCAGAATTATCAAGGGCCCATACCTGGAGGGTAACCTGCTTAGTCTGGCTACAGAAGTGTGTTATTTTGCCAGCTGGCGTTTTAATTTCTCGCCTCTCTGAATGAAGTGCAGGGCTTCAGCTGCACGTTTGCTTTGTCTGTTCGGGCTGCAGACACTTACATTTTGCCACTCTGGCATAAATTTAAGAATCGCTTTTACTGTTATATCAAATCTGATGCTACAAATCCCTCCAGAAGTTAACAGAACGCCTTCTCACTTTCGGTTTTCTATAAGCGGTGGGCGGTGTTCCTAGAAGACAGTTGTGTTTGCGTGAGAAGCAGATGAAAGGGCCATGCAGTGTCTCACTAACGAGTGTGCTGTGCTCTCTTGCCCAGGGGAAGTGGAGGTTCCTGATCCGAATGACCCCTTGGGACAACTGGATGGACATGACAGCCCTATTCCAACTCTGAAAGGTAAACTGTGCAGTGCTCTTTGCATGCAGGGGTTTGGACATGTTCTCAGAGTATCACGTACAGAGGCTCCCGGTTGGCTGGCCATTTCTACTCCCAGCTTGGCTGGAATTGATGGCCAGGGTGCCGTGTGGCCCGGCGCTGCCCCATTGTGGGCATGGGGCACGCTGACCTCCATAGCTGTGTCTCTTGACACAGTTGTGAGGGTGTTGAGGGCTGGCTGGAGCCAGTCAGAAGGTGGCAGGTGGGAGGTGACGGGGCAGGGGTAGGTGGATAGCCACCAGAGGGAGGTCCTCTTTGGGGGTGGGTGCTTCGTGGGCCTGAGTGGTGCATTGGGAGCTGGACTCCTAGCTTGGCCACTAAATGTCCTGCTGACAAGTGGCTGTCTCCTGGGGTTTTTCTCTGCGTGTAATTGTCCAGAGTGGGTGGGCACCTCAGGCGGGCAGGTGGCTTCCTCCACCGGTCACCAAGGAGCAGGTTCTTTGTCTTGTTGCTTCAGCCTTTCCCAGAGGTCAGTCAGGGTCACTGCTCACTTGTAACCCTTCGTAGGCATCTGAGGATTGTAGAGTCTATAGAACGCATTTCCTCAGATGCAGCCCAGTTACTTGAGAAAGTGGCTCTTTTCCTGCTTCGTCCGCTGTCTCCATATTGCCTTAGACTCTTGCCTCAATCGACTCAGGCTGCATAAACACAGCACCACAGACCAGGCGGCTCAATCGGCAGGAGTTTATTTCTCACCGTCCTGGAGGCCGGAAGTCTGAGATCAGGGCACTGGCATGGTGGTTCCTGGTGAGAACGACTTCCCGGCTCGCAGATGGCCCTTCTCCGTGTGTCCTTGTGTGGCGGAGAGAAGAGAGCGCTCCAGTCTCTTCCTCTTTTTCCAAGGGCGCCAATCCCATCATGGGGGCTGTAACGTCAGGACCTCCTCCAACCTGCCTCACCTCCCGAAGTCCCCGCCTCCAAATACCGTCACACTGGGGGTTAAAGCTTCAGCATGTGACACAATTCACTGCATAACAATTATCCATTAAAACAGCCACTTTATTTCTACTTGACTTTTTTTTAGCATTATTCAAAGCCGCAAAATAGTTTCTCAGCCCCCTGCACATTGAGAGTCCCCTCAGGAATGTGTTCACCTCACAGGTCCAACGCCAGGTCTCCTGAGGGTTGAGCAGCAATGACTGAGCCTGCCCATCTCAGCCTAGGTGGCTAGAACGTCTCTCTGTGTCCTCATGGAGCTTCTCGGGGTCACAAAGGGTGCAGAGCTCCCTTCTCCCCTCAGAGTGCCTCCCCGTGTCCCTGCTGTTTGTGTGGAGGTCAGTGATTTGAACCAGGCTGGGTGGAGCTCCGCCTGCTGGTGGTGTCCGGTGTGTAGAGGCGCCTTGGCGAGGATTCCTCTTCAGTATGTTAAATGTAGTAAAGGCACGAGCTGGTTCCTCGTATTGACCCCCTCACGGTCCTTACGCCGTTGCTGTGACCTCGCACCACCCAGGCTGCTCATGGGGAAGGTCTCTATCAGGGCCAAAGGCCTGTCCTCTGCACGCTTGTGTACCACGCTGGGCCTCGGGACATGGTTCTTAGGAAGAAAGACAGTTTTTCATGGTTAAATTCTGAAATCATTTCTCAAAAGTCTGACTTAGCCCTTGGTCCAGAGGGCCCACACATGTTTACTGACTGCCCCGCTGTACCAGGCACTGTGTGAGGCCCGGGCCCACGCTGCTGTTCAAAACGGGTGTGGTCTCTGCCTCCCAGAGTTCACTGGACTGGGGAGTCAGCAAGTTATTGTAAAATCAGGAATGGTAGTGAGTGGCCCGAAGGAGGAGGGGAGGACGTGGTGAGCTGGAAGGACAGGAAGGGCATCTTGATTTGGGGACAGGCTGTTGCACGGAGATCTGAAGAGCGGACATTGGCCAAGAGGAGGTGGGAGGGGCTGTGTCCTGCGCCCTGGGGAAGCTGAGGGGCAGGGGCAGCTATGGGCTGGGGTGTGAGGTCGGAGAGGCTGCGCTGGGGCCCAATACTGCAGCCCTCAGCCCGCGGGGCTCTTTAAATTTAAATCCGTTAAAATCAAATAAAATTAAGAATCCAGTTTCTTGGTTCTACTAGCTACATTTCAAGTGCTCAGTTGCCATGTGTGGCTAGAGGCCATGGAGATGGGCAGCACAGATCTAGAACATTCCGTCATCACAGAAAGTTCTGTCAGACAGCACTGCGTAGAGGGTGCACAGCTGTTTAGATGGCAGGAGAAAGTTCTGTTTCACCGTAAGGGCCATCCTCTGCCGTGGAAGTTTCCAGCCTGAGACATGGTATAACCTGATGCGTTCTCTGCGAAGATCCTGCGGTTCTCTGCGAAGATCCTGCGCTGGCAGCCCTGCAGGAGGATGGAGGGGAAGTGGAGGGGGCAGTTAGGAGGGAGCTGGGGCTGGGTGAAGAGAAGTGATGGTGTAAAATCCAACTTGTGGTCGCTCTGTAGACTCTAATATGCCCTTGGAAACCCTCCTGAGATGCAGCAGACCTCTGCCTAGCCTGGTGTGCAGGCCTCTGGGTGGGCCTGGGCTGGGGGTCCGCAGGGAGGGATGGGGAGCACCGACCCACCTACCACCGTCCTTTAAGCGGAGTGCCCGCAGTCGCCCTCTGGGAGGCAGAAGCGGCTGCACGGCTCATGGTCTGCTTAGATGGAAGATGCCTTTGCTGATCCAGGCGCAGAAACAACCATGGGCTGAATGTTTGCAGAAATTTTTATTCCCATCTAGCCACCAGCTCCAGACATTGGTGAAGCTGCTCAGGGCAGCTTCAGTGAGAGGTTGGAAGCTCGCCTTGGACCTTGCCAGGGCGTGGAAGCACCAATTGCAGAAGGTAACTGGTCAAGTGAGCGTGCATGCGTGTGTCTGCGTGTCTGTGTGTCCGTGTGTGCGTGCACGCTTGTAAAAGGGCAGTACAGAAGGACGCAGAGAACCACAGCAAGCTGGGCCCGTCTTCCCCGTGGTGGCAGCGTGGCAGTGCAGCTGTCTGACCTTGGCTTGGCCAGAAGACAGACCTGGATCAGATGGTGGCTCCACCGTCCTGTCAGGGCCAGGGCACTGCTCCCGGCCCAGGGCCACCCCTGGCCATTGGAGGGACAGAAGGGCTCAGCGCACAACTGCCACCCAGAAACTGGTGGCTGGATGCTGCTGCCATTGGTATCACCACAATTAGGATTGTCAGCGTGTCTGGCAGCTTCCGGTGTCGAGGCCTCGCCGGCCCCTTGGGGACAGAATCCTAGTGAATGGCCCCCAGGAGTCTTGGGGAGTCTCAGGGGCCCCAGTCTTTGCCTTGCAGCCCAGTTCTCTGGTCCCATAGAGTGATTTTCCTTCCTTTTGGTTTATGGTCTTGCACAGAAAGGGCCTCACTCCACCCTTCCTTTGCGCGCGGCCTGGCACTGCCAGACTTGTTAGCCCAGGTGCTTTTCTGTTTAAGGAGCTTCAGGGACTGTCACTGCTTGGCCCCATTTGGCTTAAATCATATATAAAAAGTAATAATAGCTGAATGGACTGAATGAGCTATTTCTTTAATCCAGTTACTATTTGTGATGCCCACACATCTGTAAACTCACAGGCAGGTGAGAATGGTAGGTGGGCCAGTCTGTCAGTGATAGGACCGCTCTGCCTTGGCTGAGCAAAATAGGTCTGAGAATTAGTTACAAGCATAAAAAGCATTTGTGTTCAGATGCTGTGCCAGTATTGAGCACTTAACATTTAATTGGCGGTTGGTATCGAGAGAGAGATCCTAGAGCAAAAAGCCTATATAGAAGAGAAAAGGAACGCAAAAGACATGATTTACAGCTGCAAAGTTTGCCAGAATGTTCTGTGTGCCAAAGTACTGTCATCGGTAGGACTGAAGCCAGCCTAGGACTCCGGTTATAGTGCTGGGTTAACATGGGAGTGGAATTTAACGGGAGTTTTTGTATTCCTGGCTGCATTAGACATGCTATTTATTATTATTCTTATACTTACAAAAGCGTACATTTGGCCTAGAAACCATTTGCTCTTTTGTTCCAAGGCTGTGTTTTAAATGCATATGTAACACATCTTGGGTTTTGTAGAATCAGTACTTTGGAATGTTTGTGGGAAGTGGATGATTTCTGAGAGGCTGGGCGGGTGGGTGGCGCTGGTCTTGTCCGGCCTGCAGCCTCCCAAAATAGGCCTAGCATTCTTGTGCCTCCTGCCTTGGGAGAGGAGCTGCTCATCGCCCACCTGCAACCAGACGGCGGATTCCTGACTCTCCCCCTGGGGACGTGTAGCAATTGTAGATGATCCCAAAGGCATCCTTAATCACAGGGCAGGAGTCGATGCCTCACTCCCAAGCTGTCCCCTGACATTTGTGACATGTTATGCTGTGGTGCTGAACTGAAATTTCCCTGGACGGAGGAAGCGAAGCAATCAGCCGAGTTCACTGTGTTGGCCTGGAGACGAGGCCTGTTGTTTTCTGTTTACTGCGTGTTGGGCTCCTGATTTATGTAGGAAGCATGGATTGATTACCACGTGTGTTGATGCATTTCTGGTTTATTCTGGAACTCTCAGTGTGTGTGAGTGTGTGTGTGAGTGTTTCCTGGAGTTTACTACAGAGTGAGGATCTCCAAGGCTGACAGGGTAAAACTGATAACAGCATCCTCGGTGCAGACACAGTGTTAAGTCTGTGTCTGGGAACTTGGGCGTGGGCTCCAGCTGAGTCTGGGCCCCTGCACCTCCCCGCAGAGTGGCCCCTGGCCGGTCATTGAAACCTGGGGCTCTCCAGGCAGTGAGCAGAAGGCCTGAAATGTTTCCCAACTTGCTGTCGACAGAACCCACGTGGGGTTTCAGGGCTCTGAGGCCTGTGCCACTCTCGAGGTGACGGCCGTTTATGGAGCACCTCGATCCTCCTGTCAGTGCCCTTTGGGCTGTCCAGGGTCTGGAGAAACTGAGCGATGTTGGGAGATAACCCCAGCCTACAGATAAGACACTTCAAGCATGCGCAGTCGTGCTGTCCGG